GTTTTTTTGTATCTCTATGGCTGAGGAGTTCCCTGGTCTCTGCTACATCCCAAAGGAAGCAGAAGGAAAAGCAGGATCAAAATCACAGCTGCGGGTGAGCTCCTGTCAGGCAAATCCTGCTCTTGGCATGAGGAAATCTGCCCAGGCCAGGTTAGGAGTGTGGAATGTGGAGAGCTCCTCAGTGGTTCACTGCCAGGAATCTTCTGATGGATATGCAGTCACATCAGTGGATATGGATCCGCAGCAAAGGCTGTGGATTCACAGCAGTATTTAAGAATATTTTGCTTTACGTGGAGAGTAAGAATATCGACTCACACTGCCCAGACTGTGCTGGAGGATGTAAATCAATCTGAGGGGAGGACATCGTGGTGCAGAACAGCCCTCCTGGAGCTACAGACTGTGCAGCTCTGTGTTGGGCTCACCAGGAGTAAACATTCCCTGGTTTACAAGGTTAAAGCCCTTCCCCTGTTGAGTAGCCTTTAATAATGTAATTTTTGCCTCTTTTTCCCCCTGGAAGCCCAGGACAAAGCTCAGTGGGAGTGGGGGCAGAGCATTTCCACAGTGGAGTGTGTTTATGGGGAGGGATGACTCAAACCAAGCCTTCTGATACCTTAATTACATCTGAGGTGACCTAACCCTTGGCTATCCCGAGTCTGAGGCTGCCAAACAGGATTTAAATGTTACAAAGACTCCTGGGCAGTGCCCACAGCTGAGCTGGATTTCCCTGTGTCAGTAGGGAAGTGAAGGGAGAGGTTTCTCGTGGGATTTTTGCCTTGGCCTTAGTGCACCTGATGGGCAAAGCCAGGTTGTTTCTCTGCTGAATTCTGCAGGTTTTATAGGTGTAAAACCCACCCAAAGAGATGAACACACAGATATTTTAAGGGGATTTTTTGGAATGTGGCTGGGGAAGGGGGTTCTGTTCGTTCCCTGTGCTTTCTTGGTGACCTGGCTTTCCTTTCAGGGCTCAGCAGATTCGTACACGAGCAGACCCTCGGACTCTGATGTCTCTTTGGAAGAGGACAGGGAAGCAATCCGCCAGGAAAGGGAGCAGCAGGCAGCCATCCAGCTTGAGAGGGCCAAGGTGTGTCCTGTTCAGCTGTAAGAGCTGATTTCTGTGCCCCCTGAGCCTGTCCCTGGGGTTACAACCTGCGACAGGGCCGCTCCTTTGGAACAGTTTGGCGGTTGAGCCAAGCTGGGAACGGATGAAAATATTCTCTCTAAATGGGGGTATTCTCCAACGAGCTTGTGGGGAATCACTGGGGCTGAATTTTTATGGCTTTACCAACACCCTCTGCTGCATTTCTTGCAGCTGGGTAGCGTTGCTGACTGAGTGATCAGTCTGCAGTGGTTGTGTTGTGTTTCCCTCTGCAGTCCAAACCGGTAGCGTTTGCTGTGAAGACCAACGTGAGTTACTGTGGAGCTCTGGATGAAGATGTCCCTGTGCCAAGCACTGCCATCTCTTTCGATGCCAAGGACTTCCTGCACATCAAAGAGGTAAAACCAGGAGCTAGGAAAAAAAGGATCTGAGCCAGAGTGGGTTAACACACCATCCCAGAGGTGAGAGGAGGCAGGAGAGCACGGCACAGCCAGTGCTGGTGCTTCAGTGCAGGTCCAGCTCCCTGGGGTGGTGATCCTGCACTCGGTATGGCCAGCCTGTTGGATTTCCATGGCACAGGAAGGAAATAACTCCCTTTAACATTCTGGGTTCAGGTTCTTTCCATCAGGGGAGGTCTGTGGTGGATCAGGGATCGTGCAGCAGAAAGGGCTCCCAGTGATCACAGAGTGGAGCAGCACCAGGTCACACCAGGTCTTCATAAAGCACCAGATGGGCTTGTGAGGGAGAAAGGAAGACTTAGAATAACACATTAAGAAAACACTGAAGAGGACAGATACAAAAATAAGGGAAAAAATGGGAATAAATGGGCCCTGAGTATGGCTTTGGTAGAGAAAATTGCATTTTATTGCACGCTGAGCATATTTTCTGCAATTTTTCATTTGAATTGAGCCCTCCAAATTTGCATAACCCCCTGTTGTGCTGTAGATTGGTACCCAGGCTTGCAGCTTGCAGAAGCACTTCTTCATCTCTGCATTCTGGGGTTATTTTAGGGTGTTCAGTGCTCAGCTGCCTCTTTCTTTGAGCGTGTGCTCGTCATCACTTCAGAGCACTGAGCTCCCTCAGGCTGAGCCCACCTGCTCCTGCCCCTCCAGAGGCACCCAGTGGGGCTGGAGCAGGGAATTGCTTTGCAGAGGGGCACAGGAGAGGCACTCGAATGCCCTGAGCCTGTTTTTGATGCTTGGCCAGGGCCACCTTTAGCGCCAGGGCGCTGATGGGTTTTAAGTGCTAAGCCCTTATCGCTCTGCCCTGTCCGTTCTCCCAGACAAGAGTCCCAAATCCGTGTCTTGGCACTCCCTGAGTTGTCCTCTGAGCTCTAAATACCCAGGATCACATTGTCACTAAGCTGTAAACCAGCTGGCTTACTGGTGTTTGTCAGCTCTGCCGAGGGTTTAGCTTTATTTCCTTTGTTAACACTCCCAACCTTCAGCCTGCCCAGAGCCGTGGCTGCAGCTCAGTCGGATTTGGGGAATGGTGGGAAAAGGCTTTGCAGGATTCGTTTTCTCAGCGATCTGGCAGGGCCTGATTGGATTAGAACAATGGTTCCAGGTTTTGGAACGATGCTAAAAACTGGTTACAGAGTCAGGTCACCCTGTGCCGGGGTGGAACAGCAGCAGCCACCGAGGAGCTGCTATTTTGGGGACGTGTCCTGGATGTCTCATCTGCCTCCAAGACTATACATTATGTGCTTACTTAAAAGATGAAGTGGCGACAATTCCTGACAAAGCAGGAGGAATCATGGGCCTGGCAACCAATGGGAGGGCGTGTGGGCCTCCCACACGCTGAGTAACATATGGGAGGGAATGACCTAATGCAGATCCCATGTTCTCACTGCATCCCTGGCTCCTCTGTGGATCAGACACTCTCAGCATAACCACGGAGTCCCAGACTGGTTTGGGTTGGAAGAGACCTTAAAACCACCCAGTTCCAACCCCGACACCTTCCACTAGCCCAGCTTGCTCCAGCCTGGCCTTGGACACTTGCAGGGATGGGGAGTGCACAACCTCTCCGTGATTTCCAGCAGCAGAATGTTGGGTCCTGAAGGGTTGGTGTGGTTTACAGGCTGTAAATAGTTCTGTGGACTTAACACACTTGAAATGAAGCTTTGCTTCCTGACACTGTTCTCCGAGATGAAGAACAGACAGTGAAAGAGTTGGGATGATAAAACAAGGGAATCTCTTGCACAAATAACACCCACAGCAGGACAGGTTTCCAAGGTGAGGGTGTGAGGACTGCCCTTCCCTTGGCTGTGGATGTAATAGGTGTGTGTATGGGTTAATGTCTGTGTATGCAGGGGTTAATAAAAAGCAAATTAATGTCTCCAAGATGCTGAGGCCCCGTGTTTCAGTCACCATCAGGCCCTGCTGTGCCTTGACAAGGGGGACATGGGATTCCTGTGTCTGTGCAAGAGCTTAAGTGCTTGAAAACAAGAGCCAGGGGCCGTGCTCATTGTTAGGAGAGATGCCTGTGATGGCTCTGATAGCTCTTGGCTCCGGGCTTGCAAACAAAACCCCCTCTCTCGTGCTGCTTTTAATGAGCCAGCTGAGAGAAGCCCTGATTCCTGGGAGCACTGAGGGGCCCGGCGAAACATTAACACACCCCAAGGTTTGCAGATAGTTTTGTGCCACAGCTCTGCCCCAGCAGCCACCACAAATCCTTTGCCACACGAGCTCCACCAGGACGAGGCTTTTCACCTTTGCATCGTTAGAGCTGAGGGCCGGACTGTCAGCAGTGCAGGAGAACCCCACCCAGTTCCCAAGGGCTGACAACAGTGAATGACCTGTGTTGCAGAAATACAACAACGACTGGTGGATAGGGCGGCTGGTGAAGGAGGGCTGCGAGATCGGCTTCATCCCCAGCCCCCTGCGGCTGGAGAACATCCGCATCCAGCAGGAGCAGAAGAGGGGCCGCTTCCATGGAGGGTGAGGGGACTGCAAAGCCATCAGAACCTCCCAGATGCTTCCAGTGCACGGCTGGGGGTGGGATTCCCACTGGGAATGGGTGTTTGCAGGGACCAGACCTGGGGGATACTGATGGGGAGAGGCAGGAAGAGCTGGGCTTGGCTTCAGGAAAGAGCAGCAGTTCAGTGTGGGGGGTACTGACAGCAGTTCCTCAGAATTTTGTGTCCCCATGCCCAGCTCAGTGCTCAAAGACTCCCAGATTTTTCCCCCCAGCTTTTCTTAAGGTTGGGGCTTTTTTTCTTCCCTTTTTTCCCCCCCCATTCTCTCCATTTCAGCCCAAACCACCCTTTTCAAAGTTGATGACTTTTTTCATTCAGCTTCCTTTCATCCTTCACCTCCCAGCCTGAGCCTTCTGTGGCCCCACCCTGCCAGAGCTGGAGACTGCAAATCCCTGGGAAAATATAAACTGGGGCAGGGAGGGAAATGTTTTCAGAAGGGCTGAACAGTATCAACTGTGCTCCTCCCAAATCGCTTTCGTGGTTTTTGAAATAACTTCAGAGGGTCTCCGTGGGCAGGGAGAGGATTACCTGGTTCAGCGGGGCACTCCTGGATTTGCATGACAAAATTCAGAGTTGTATTTAAAATAACCAGTTGATCTTTGAGCACCTTTGTTAGGCAGAGATCTGTGTTACATCGGGATTCCTGGGGGGGGGGGCAGTTCCTCCCCAAAACCTCCCACATTTGCACCTCTGGGTGCCTTCACGGGGCTCTTTCTGCTCCCGCAGGAAATCCAGTGGGAATTCCTCTTCAAGCCTTGGAGAGATGGTTTCTGGCACGTTTCGGGCCACACCCACTGCCACAGGTGAGACCAAATGTCATTGAGGGGAGCTCTTGGTGTTCTGTTTTCAAAACCACCCAGGAAAAATGCAGGTTTTTCCCCTTAGCTGAGGGATTGAAGATGTTTACCAGCAAAGGGGGAGGAAAACAGTTATTTCTGGCCATGTAGGAGTTGTTGAGGGGCTGGGAAAAACCTTGGGAAGAGTGGCAGCTGTCCCAGAAGGGACTGAGGGACCAGTTTAGCCAGGGGGACCAAAGGGAGGGAATTCCCAGTGCATGGACAGAGAGGTTTCTGTTGGCACCGGGGTGTTTTAACCGAGTTCTATTTTGATCTTCCAGCAAAACAGAAACAGAAAGTGGTAAGTAGTGCTTTTGCTTTCATTTTATATCATTCTGACCCATAATTCCCAGGATTTTCTTACGGATCTCGCTGGATAAATGATCTGAAGGGTTGTTTTCCTCTTCCAGACGGAGCACATTCCCCCCTATGACGTAGTGCCATCGATGAGACCTGTTGTCTTGGTGGGTCCATCACTCAAAGGCTATGAGGTACTTGCCATGAATTAATGTTTTATTGTCTGCAATCTTCCTCAGTAACTCAGGGTGTGGGCCAGTGCCGCTGTTGGGTGATAGTTCAGAGTGATCTTCGCTTCAGTAATTATCCAGAATGTTCTGTAAGCACCAAGAGCTTTACTTTGAGCCTGCCCTGCACATCCACTCTTCCCAGTGCACTTATTCTTGATTAAACCAGAGTTAGGAAAAGAGAATTGAATTGGCAGGAGATTTCCTGGGAGCTTCCTGGCTGTTCTTTTTTTTCACTTTAGCAGTATTTCAGATATATTTGCAAAGAAACTTTACCCCTCCTAAAGGACCTGCCACCGTTCCACGTGGCAGTGGGCAGGGTGACACCAGGCCACCCGTTTTTTGGGCTGCCGCAGATTCAAGTGAGCATTTCCCACGTGCCAAGTGAGCAGTTGGGTGAACTCCCCCATCTGTGAGTGTTGTGCTGAACCAGGAGCTAAGTGAACATCAAAGCAAAGCTGCACTTCATTAAAGCTTAATGTTGGGGGTGCCTCATAGGATATTGTTAAACGCGCTGGAATGGCTCTTTTTTGGAAGATTACAGTGTGGTACAACTATTGGAGTAATGCAGGGTTGTTATACTGAGGGGGGATTTATCAGAATCTTCGAAGGTGCAAGTTCAGCAAAGCAGGAACTGCATGTTCTTTGCTGCCTTGGAATTTTATGGTGAAGTTCTTTGACAGGAGTAAAGTCCATCTGTGCTGCACCACAGATCGATTTGCCTCTCAAGTCTGAGGCTGTTTGATAATAAAAACCTCCTCAAATATCTGAAATACTCAATATTCAAACATTTGAAATACTCAATATTCAAACACCTGAAATACTCAATATTCAAACTCCTGAAATACTCAGTATTCAAACATTTGAAATACTCAATATTCAAACCTTTGAAATACTCAATATTCAAACACCTGAAATACTCAATATTCAAACACCTGAAATACTCAATATTCAAACACCTGAAATAGTCAATATTCAAACCTTTGAAATACTCAATATTCAAACTCCTGAAATACTCAATATTCAAACCTTTGAAATACTCAATATTCAAACTCCTGAAATACTCAATATTCAAACATTTCCATTCTGCCTTTTTCCCCTGAAAGCAAACGATGCTAAACACGACATCTTGAACATATAAATTAGTATAAATGTTAACGCAGAATATTAATTCAGATTACAAACAGTGGTCTGCCTAAGAGAACGGCCAGTGCAGGGCAGGAGCAGACAGGGGTGATTGCTGCCCATCAGAGGTGCTGATTGTTTGGCCATGTCCTTACCTTCTACTCACCTCTTTCCTTCCTTTTCCTTCCTTCTCCCTGCTTTTCCTCGCTGTCCTCCCCCCCTGTGCCCCCTCCTGCCCCTGCCAAGGTGACAGACATGATGCAGAAAGCTCTCTTTGACTTCCTGAAGCACAGGTTTGATGGCAGGTGAGGAACACTGCCCTGCTCGTGCTGCTTGGCCCACGTGTGACTAACATCGCAGGGGTTTATTTTTTCATTTCTGATGCATGTTCCAAGCTGATTTACTGCCCTTTTTCTCACCACTGGGGAGTGCAACACAACTGATGTGGTGCTGCCAGTGCACTTGTCTCCATTTCTGCTGTGCCTGGGGAAGGATTTCATGGTTTAACACAGTAATTCCCTTCCAGTAGCTCACCAAGACCTGAGAAAAATCAGCTCTTAGATATTCTCTATTTAAACCTTTGCTTTGACTGCTCAGAGTAGGCAAAAGCACCAGAAAAGGCGGTTTGAAAAGGAAATGCTGAGAAATGGAGAAAAATAAGGGGGTCAGGAGCTAAAAAATTATAAGGAGGGTTTGTTCTCAGCTGGAGCACAGGGAATATTTCCTGGGGAGCTGGGAGGAGCATCATTTGGATTTCTCTGCCAGGAGCACAGCCTTGCCCGTGGCATCTCTGCCTTTTCCCTGGGTAGGTGTCTGCTGCATCTTTGGGATGTTCTGCCCTTCCTTCTTCCCAGTTAATTCAGGATATTTTGACTGGGAGAAGGAGCTTACACTGCTCTAGCCAGTACATATAACACTGAGTCAGATCAGAAATACCTAAACCAGGGGCACTGGGATGGGGAAAATCACGTGCAGAAGAGCTGGAGCAGGACTGATGGATTTTGGGGAGCTGAACTGATCCACAGACAGCTCAGACAAAACGTTTAATGATCAACCCCTGTGCAAAACAATCCCCTCTCCTGGCCTGTTTGGAGCTGCCCAGCTGAAGTGGTTTTCTGGGAATCCTAATTCCATTAGCAGTATTGGCAGCAGGATCAGGTGGGCTGTGGGGTTTCAGCACTGGCAGGGTAAGTGCCATCAGCAAACTGACACCATTGATTTTCGCTCTGAGGAACTTCCAAAAAGCTGCTTCTTGCTCCTCCTGCCAACTTTTATGGCTTTGTGGTCTTTCTCCTCCCTCCCCCCCCCCTCCCTTTTCTGTTTCTTTCTTTCCATCTCTTCTGCAGTTTTGTGACAGGTCCATGTTCCCAAGAAAGGAACTGACTGTCCAAGGAGAAGCCTTTCAGGAGGCTGCAGTGGGACTTGGCTCCCTCCCCACCTCCGAATTCCCTGTGCTTTGCCAGCTCCTTCCTTTGTAACTGCAGCCTCCTCTTCTGCCCAGGGAACCAAAGGCCCCCAATCCGTTAATTCCTCCCATTTCTATTTTAAATTCATTTATACTTTCGGCCCCTGCTGTATTTTCTGGCAGTGCATTTATTTATGAATTATTTAGAAAAATACTTGTGCCTCTTTTGAACCCTCCATGTGATGATTTCACTCAGAGCTGCAGGAATCTCAGGTTTGGTGGGAAAGCTGCTGGTCATTCCCTTGCTTGCTTTCTTTTCATTATTCCTGGCTCTTTGGCTCATCCCAAAGGAGCCAACCCATCCTAAATGGATTTGATGTGAAGGGAGAGTGTGGTCTTTGTTTGACAACATTTGGACTTGTCAGTTCAAGGAAATCTGAACCAGCTCCAGTAAATCCAGTAGGACAAGTGAAAATTCACCTTCCTGCAGTGGAGGAGGTGCAGGGTAGTTAAACTGTAGTTGAAGCAGTGCAGGGAGCTGTGGTTTAACTTCCTTTTCTCTGGTTCATCCACGTCAGACTCGTGGAACTCGTAACATTCATGGCACCGTGGAAGTCCACGGAGGAGAGGAGTGAGCTGGGAGGAGGGAAGTTAATTAATGCACTAAGGGTGGCAGACACTGCATCCCAGAGTCTCCAATGGCTCAGGGAAGGGAAGATCCCTCACAGTTCCACAGCACTCCAGCTGTTCTGCAGTGATGACATAACCCAGCTGGAAAACATCTCTGAGGGGTGTTTGGTTGGGTTTGCCCTTTGGGATGGGGCGTGGCTGCAAATCCTGCAGATCTGACGCTGCGCCTGTGCTGTGTGCGTGTCCCTGTGCCAGGATATCCATCACCAGAGTGACAGCTGACATCTCCCTGGCCAAGAGGTCTGTGCTCAACAACCCCAGCAAGAGGGCCATCATCGAGCGCTCCAACACCCGCTCCAGCCTGGGTGAGGCACCGGCACACGGGGAATTCTGGCTGGGGGTACAGCCTTTGGGTTCACAGGAGGATGGGAGGGACCCCAAGGACCACCCAGTCCAACCCCTGGCCCTGCACAGACACCCCAACAATCCCCCCCTGTGCCCCAGAGGATCATCCCAACCCTCCTGCAGCTCTGGCAGCCTTGGGGCTGTGCCCACTGCCCTGGGGAGCCTGTTCAGTGCCAACCACCCTCTGGGGGAAGAACCTTTCCCTGAGATCCACCCTGAGCCTGCCCTGGCACAGCTCCAGCCATTCCCTGGGGGCTGTCCCTGCCCTGGCACAGCTCCAGCCATTCCCAAGATGCCCTCAGTTCTGCAATTTAAACGTGTGCACAGCATTTTACTGGATAATCCCCAGTTGGCCTCCCAGCACCTTCTCCCTGTGCTTTTAATTCCACATCACAGGGGGCCAAAGAGCTTTCCCTCATCCAGCCAAGGAAAAGTGTCATTCCCGACCCTGGGACCAGTTTGGGGTGTTATGGTGAACATCTCCAGCTTCATTTTGCTGTTCAGCCGTGAGGTTTTGGCTCTTCCCCCTCTCCATGCTGGATGAATTTTGATATGGACTCGATGATCTTGGGGGTCTTTTCCAACGTCAGTGATTCTCTGATGGGATGATTCCATGATTATTTCCTGCACACAGGTGGAAATTCGTGTGGTGTGTTTTTAAATAATACCCTGTCAATTATTTCACATAAGAGGGGGTTTTGTGGTTATAGAATTAGGAGGTTTCCTTTTCACAGAGACCCTTCTTTAAGTTAAGTCAGAGTTATAATATCAGAGCAAAAAAAAAAGTTGTAAGGAATATCCAAACACTTGCTGATTAAAATAAAAAAATCTTGTGACTCCCAAGCTGTTTAGCAGATTTGGAAAATGTGCTATTTAGTGTTAGTAGATATTTAATTGCACCCAACATTTAAGACACTGATGTTATAAAGGAACGTGGCACATCTGTGCTTTCAGGCAGCAGAATTGTCTCAGAGGTAACATTTATTTTTAAAATGCCTTGAGTAACAGGTTATTTTATGGAAGTGGCTTAAATTCCCCTACAGACTCCACGCAA